AGAATAATATAAATAAATACAGAATTTATTTATAAATTTTTAATTTAAAGAAAAAATAAGAAAAACAACTATATATTACTGGGGTCAAGCGGAGTGTAACTGATCATTCATTGCAGGGGTAGCACTCGCAAAGGATAATGGAAGATGGTTTTTTTATATCGTGGTGTTGTACGGTAAACAATAAAGTCCCCTCAATTAGCCTTTTTCCTTTTGCCCCTTACGTTTGTGTGCCATATCTTTGTTCTTATTTGTAAGAAAAATGTATTATTGTTTTGCCTTTTGAATTAATTTCATTCTTTTTGTTGTACCGTGAGTTGAAAAGGTAATTTTTTTTTTTTTTTCTCACGGCAATCAATTATTGCAGCTACGAAACTCATTCTTTCTGAATCATTGATACAACTTAATTTATTCATTCCAGTTGCAGCAGCTGCGATAACCTTTCTTTGTAAATTTATGCCGGTACTTTGGGGTAAGCAATAACGTTCACTCAGTTACCCTCTCCCCTTTTCCTTTTCTCCTCTTACCTTCATTTTTGTGCTATATCTTATTAATTATTATTATTTTTATTTTAAGTTACATAATAAAAAATAAAACTCTCATTTTTTAACACTTCATTTATATACCATTTAACTTAAATTCAAGATTTTTTATTTTTATTAAAAAAAATTAACACTAAATTACTTAAATTATTGGTTATATCGTAATTTTTAGTTTTGAAAATTAACGTTCTTTTTTATTTTGGTCTGGCAATAATGTTAATCTTTTTTTAATCTTCTGCAAATTAGTTGATTAGTTTGACTTACCGAATCAATCTAAAATTTTCAATCTAATAGTTAATTTTAAAAATATATATTAATTAAAATATAACGTTTTTGGAGTATTCTCCAAGAAAAAGTCTTGAAACTCTTTATATATATATATATGAGTAAGTATTTATTTATACGTAAATTTTATATCTTATATTTACACAAAATTTTATTCATTTATTTTTTTATTTTCAACGGTTGAAGTTAATCACAACTTTTTAAATAAAAAAGATAATTATTATTAATAAATATAATAAAAAGTGAATTAATCTAAATTATTAGAGAGATAAATGATTAAGATTTTTTTATAAGTATGGTGCATAAAATTTATATATAATTGGATTCCTACTATTTATATAATACATATAATATATATAGTTATATCAATTTACACATAAGTCTTACCCCCACAAATTTTACACAAAATCTTAACAATTCATAACTCAATGATGAATGTCAAAGATTTATTTTTTTGATTATATTTTTAAAAGTTAATTAATTTTTTATTCAAAAATATGATAAATTTTAGTCATTTATTGTGAAAAAATATAAATTTCTTAAACAAATGGCTGACATTATTCTCTTTTTATATCTCTTCCTATACAAAGGGAGAGAAGTGTTTATTCAACTAAAAAAATACAAGTTTCTTGATTAAATGTTTAATTATAGATTTTTATCTAAAAATTAACATATATGATCTATATAAATAGAATATTAAATTTAAAGATTAATTTTTTAAAATATTTATTAGAAAGTGATATTTTTGAAACTAAATTTTTAATTTTTTATGAGAATGGGGACAAATATGCATTATACTATGTATATATAAGTTTGTTAATACCAAGGGAAATATATAACATAAAGTCAACGGATGTGCACGTTGTTGCTTTCGTTTTCTAATTTGGATGAAGGTCATTTTTTGTCTC